ACATTCCGAAGCGATGCATGTCTGTAATTAAACAACTCCATAGGTCCAGAAGGTTACGACGCACATCGGAAACATGATAGGAACCTGTCTATGTGGGGTGAGGAACCCACCTTTGTTCGCATAACCCGCATCTACTAGTAATATTTACCTATAATAATAACTGAATGTTTTTGAAGAAACATGAAAAATGTTTTCTAGTTTAGCTACATTACATAAACCAAGTTAGTTATACCTAGAGGGATGCGGGAAACCCGAACCAGGATCATCTAAAACTGAATTAACCCTTGCGTCATGGGTAATCCTTCCCAGCCTGACGACATATTGTGAACAACATTGAAGTCACAGACGACCATCACATTCTGCGACATGCCCCTTTACGATTTCGATGTACAGCTACCTCAACTGGCGTCAACCACGTATATGTTTACCGTCAATCGCTCCAATACGTCCTGTTGACAAAATTGCATTTTAGTAATATGTGAAGACGAACAACAATTATGAAACAATGAACTAACCAACATCTAATTAAAAATTATTAAGTACCTTAAAGAATGGGTAAAAGTTTGGGTTGGTCGATATCTCCAATGGAACATCAGTAAAGTCAGGTGACTTGATAAAGACTAACATCAACTCCACTATCCATCACAAACTGCATGGACATATCTACAATTGTCTCACCGGAATGCTGGTAATCCTTCCCACAATCACGATTTGACGCATTTTTGCCAACTGTTATAAAAAAATATCATTACGTGTCTCAATACTCATGTGTCTGGTTACTCGCAGTTTGCCTCTTTGTGTCAATATATACATAAGTTTTGAAAACATCTTTTGCTCATGCGACACTTATTGTAATTCTTCTAGGATGACCATTCGGCATTTCCACCATATAATCGTGACCATTAATGAAGATGTATTTACAGGTTGGCTGGTTTGCATGCTTAACTCCATTTCATATGTAATAGCCCCACACAACGCGACTGCAGCATATTATATAATTGTTCTTTTCACTCTCATTATCTTGATTATGGTTTGTATGGCTAGACGACGCCATTTACACCTGTCCATTATGAGCTTTGCTTCCATTAGTTCATACTTTTTTAATACTAAACAAATAAATACATTCAATTTAAAGATATGAATCATTGCACAACACAGATGGTTTATCGATCTCAGAACAAGCAAGTGAAGTCTGTAATACGAAGAAAGTAAATATAAAATATCTCATATTTCAACAGAATCAATAAGACTAACAACCGAAAACAAGTTCAACAAGGAAGTCCTAAACCGTCATCTACATACGACGGATATCATTTAAACCCAAAATTCCTTGTTCGCATGTGACATGTTCACCATAAGCTACGCCACTCTGGGTTGGCAATTAAGTACTTCATGCATCCAATATATTGCGGTGGAGTTGCATACTTTCCAAAATTCTGACAATTTTCCGGGAATATCGATCCTTCCAACCACTTGTGTTCTCTTGGGTCCCATCACCGCCACTGCGAGTTGATGCCGCAGATCCCATATCTTATTGGAAATAGCTTGCGCCAACTGAGTCATCGCACCCAAAAATGGGTTTCCCTCCCTCTCTCCTTCTCCTCCTCCTATTTACGGATCGCTATCTCCCAGACCTATCAGATCGTTTTTCTCTAGTTGATCTCCTGGATCAAGATCGAAGTCATCTTCATCATGTTGCCTCGATGGGATCGAAAAAACACGGTGGATGCCGCAGGTTCAGATGCAGATGTGAAAGCAAATCTGCCAGTGCATTTTGCTTCTCGAATATGACCTCATATAACTCTCTATCAACGAGTCCTTTATGTAGGAATTGCTGCGCACCAGGTTTTGCTGTTATTGAAAAACAAACATACACATTAATTTATTTTACCCAAAACAAAAGTGCATACCACATCTGCGTTATAAGAATTAGAAAAAAGAAAATATATTTACCTTTATATATTCTTCCCATATCTCTTTAGGACAGGTTGGAGTTTGGGACTCTTGATCCCAACCAAACCCCGTTGTCCTATTAGCATACGCCAAGACTTGTATGTTGATCGCAAGCGTTGTACTTAGAAGCCAACTGTTGCACTTTCAATTTTCTCTGCGCACATTTTGTAATTGTTCACTAATCCTCCTATGGTCAGAAGCTCTTATTGCAGTACCGTGGGTTGTTTTCACCCGCTCAGCCAACAGTTCTAAGAACCTATGGGTGAGTTCAGCAGTCCATTGAACGGACTCACTCATCTATATAGTAGGTGAGAAGAACAATCATGATGTGAAATATTGTAACAATTAGGATACATATCAATATAAACATATGCAACATATAACATATAAACAAACATACAGAAATATTACCTCGTTTGACCCAACACTGCTTTCAACAGAAAGTACGGGGCACGATGGTCAAGGTAGACCAACAAGGTCTTTGTGTACCCCAATTCTGAATAACGTCAACCTGTCTTCTGCATCGAAAGTATTGATCAATTCTGCGATGGTGGGCTGAGTGACATGTACATTGTTCATGGCATTGTAAGTAACTATGCGATGACTTGCAGTTATCACCTACAAAATGATTAATACATAAGTTAGACAAATCATCACCCTCTCAACCATTGATTAGTTTGCTGGAATGAATAAGAAAATAGTGCATGATGGGGTTGAATAGAGCTGAATCAAGCAATGGAAAACCTGCTCATCTATCCACTTGAGATTAACTGAATACTCTCTGTCCATTGTATAATTAAATTATAATTATTCAAATCAACTCCATAAACAAAAATTACATTGAAAAACAATAATATTTGAGCATAAGTGTGAGTGATCTCATTCTGCGTTTAATCAAAATTTTGGTGAAACACACAAAAGGAAGAACAATAAATTGGAAACTTGAAAAAGAAAAATAACAATGATGAGCCAAGAAAACAAAATAGTTTTTCCCTTTATAAGATATAATGCTTCCACAAAGGCGAAACACAGTCATGACTTAGTTGTACTTGACCAAAAGGTTTACTGAATATGAATGATAATATTTTAGAGGAAGTGAACATAGCCAATTGTTCAATCAATGACGAGGTTATCTATATCACTATTGACATCCCCTAGTCACCAGATTAAATTTATAGTCTTAAAAAAAAAAAGTTTAATCTTTCAAAGTGATTATATGGATTATGGAAGAGAAATAAAATTTTACAGAATAGAAGTCAAACTAGACATCCTGGCAGTTCATAATAGGGTCAAACTCACCTCTTCAAGTAGGTTTCTACATTGGACATCTTTGAAAGTAAGGAACCCCACAATAATCCTAAAGGATTTTAGGTTATCACTACTCAATCTCATCTTTTTATAAATTTAACTCTGTATACAGAATTTGGATGAGCTGTCCTGCATACGACCATGTTACTGGATCATGCCCCCACTATCCATTCATTATGCAATTTTCATTTACTTACAACTCATTCTATCTACAGTTCTTTCAATAGTAAATCCCACATAGCTGGTGAATATCTTCTTTCACAACTCCTTCATATCCTCTTCAATTCAATCTCAAAATTCCAACACATTTTTCCGCTCTCTCCCAAAACACCCTCATCAGCCACCTATCCACCATTTCATAACATCTCACAATAAATGCACTGCTTACAAAGAAACACAGCCATTTCAAAATTTTTCTACATTCACATAAACCCTTTTTTACTTCTTCAATCGGCAAAATCCTTAATCCCATTTAGTCAAACTCAGACAAAACTACCCCACCAACCCATTAATCATAGAACCAAAAAACCAAAAATTTTATGATTTTTCACCAAGTAGTGGTCTTAATGGGTCTAACCCAAACTTGTGGTAGCTATCAGCTATGTCCACACACAGAACTAAACTACAACAAATTACTCAACTATCACAAACCATTCATAAATTCCCACATTACTCAAACCACCCATCAAATTGAACACTTTGCAAACAAGTCCTCTCTGTCGAACCATATAACCACAATCACAAGACACATACTACAACCCATTCCACCATATTCACAACACTTCTGCAAAATTAAACCCTACTCGTTTCCAGAAACACAAAAAACACAACGGGGTTAAGTTTCACTGCAAAAATCATACAATAAAAATTGCCATTTTTTTTCAGTTTCATTTCATTGGGTACAAAATAGTTATATGTAACTTAGAATTGAAAAAATAAAAATGAAAATAAAATTCTGAAAGTGGAAGGTACCAACAATCATGATGTCATTTGATTGAAAGTTGAAACTGAGATTGTTCAAGAGTAGCCAATTTGCGCAGGGTGGTGATGAGAGCCGTTTTATATATCCTGCGCATCTTTCTTACCCTACGCTTTCTCGCTCTCCAAACATCGCTCTGATGACTCAAAGAACGACTGTCGTAGAGGTTAAAACCAACATCTTGCTTTGGTGGAGAATAGTGGAGTAAATGAAGAGAATAAGGAAATGAAAAGCTTAGTAGCAGTTGGGCGAGAAGGAGGAAGAGTTGTATTTCAGTGTGCTTTGTGCTTCGTTGATGGACTGAGTGAGAGGAGAAGTCACGGGTGTATGCAGTAAATAAAAAGAAGAGAAGATGTCAGTTGTTGTTGGGAGAAATAATGGCGAAAAATTCACAATGGTCAAAAAAATACTGAGTAATATTGATGGATATCTGAACCAAACACAATTTTTACTGTAACCTTTATTGAGAAACTCATTGACAGTTTTTTAAAGACTGAACCAAACGGACCCTAAGTATTTTACTGTTTAACTTTTTTGAAAATACTAAGAGTAGTATTCCCAATCTTGAACCAAACGAAGCTCAGAGTTTTTAGATATTTTACTAGTTAATACTAAAAGTAGTATTCCCAAAACTGAAGCATGATTGTCAAAGTCAAGAAAGAAAAAAGGGCAGACAACTTTTGATAAAGTAAAAATAATGGAGACAGAATAAGAAAAAGAAACCAGTTGACTGACACTGGTAATGAAATTTCCACGAAATTTCTGGTACTTTCTCTGCAATTTACTCCGCAATTTTCTTTCAAGAGTGAGTGAAGAAGAGATAAATATATGAGAAATCATTCATAACATCAAAGTTTTATCGTTTTCCGTCGCTTCAACATCCTCATTTATCTTCACTGATCTTTACATACTTTCTCTGTAGCAATTCAGATCTGTCTTCATTTGTTATTTGGGTAAACATACTATGACTTTTTATATATATTATTTTTCTCATATATTTTTTTAAATTTTATATAATTTTATGAAGTGAAAGTTATCCATCTTCAGTTTCGTAAGTGCTGGATCTGAACTTCCAAGGCTAATTAAAAGGTAAGTGTCTCTATTGTTCCTGGATTTTTTAATTTTTGTTTTTTTTTTTTTTTGTTTGTTTTAAATAGTTATAAGTAGCTTATATGTGTATTTTTGGTTAGCTTGTTTGAGTTTTTATATCTATTATTTTTCTCTATTTTTATTTTAATTATATAATTTTACCAAACAAATGCATCTATGTTTCAAACAAATTGAACATTTTGTTGATTCTTGATGTTCATAGTCTCTCAAAGCCGTGTCAATCTTTAATTTCCAGTAACTCAGGTGCAAGTGCAAATATGATCTTCTAGGACTAATTAGAAAGTAAGTGCCTCTTTTTATTTTTGTAATATTTTTTTTTTTTGTTTGTAATATTTCTTCACTTGTCTTTTAATTTTTATATAATTAAAAATGTCATATCAATTTTTTTTTTTTAAATTTATAACTAAGAAGTTATAAAAACAAAAACAAAAAAACTTTTGCCCTGTTTTCTATTTTCAAGATTTATTTAACAAAATCAGAAAGTATTTTTTTTTTTAGTAATTGTTTATGTATCATATTTATTTTATTTTTTACTTTTAAAATAAATCATTTTTTAGGGATATTAATGAAGCATTTAATTATTTCATATTAAATTATAATAATATTTCAAAGAATGAAAATGGGAAAAATTATAATAATATTAGTCTCACAAATATTTTTTGTAACCTCATGTGGGAGTTCACAATTGGTTTGGTTAGACGGGATCTATTGTTGGGTAGACGAGACTCATGTGAACTGAGCAATTGCGAGCTGATACATCGATTTTGTGAGATAAAGTTTGTGAGTAGTGTTTATGAGTGTAATATTACTCAGAAAATTATTAAACATAAGACTTCTAATTACTTTAATTTTTTTTCTTTTATTCATTGATTGTCTACAAACTTAAACAGATCTGAAAAGTCTTTCATCAGAGGAGTTGGATGGCTGCTTCTTCATCTTCAGCCACTCCTCAATTGAAGAACTATGATGTCTTTCTTAGTTTCCGAGGCGAGGACACCCGCTATAATTTTACAAGGCATCTCTATGTGGCTTTGTGTCGCAAAAAGATTGAAACTTTCATGGATGACCAACTGATAAGAGGAAATGAGATTTCGTCATCTCTTTTGAATACAATTAAAGCATCAAAGATTTCTGTCATCATTTTCTCACAAAATTACGCGTCTTCAAGTTGGTGTCTCCAAGAACTTGAACAGATTATTGATTGCATGAAAACGAAACAGCAGATTGTACTACCAATTTTCTACAAGGTAGACGCATCTCATGTAAGGCGTCAGAAAGAGAGTTTTGGGAAGGGATTTGCTGAACTTCAAGACCGTTTTAAGGAACAGCCGGAGATGCTGCAAAGATGGGAGAATGCGCTGAATGAAGCAGCTAATCAATCTGGTTGGCCTATAGATGGAAAAACGAAAGTGTTAATCTGCATATAATTTTGTACTAATCAATATTACTTCTTTTTTAAAATCTAACAAGATCGGTTATTAAAATCTTTGCATTGGTTTTTGTGATCTTTTCTTCCTGTCTCCTTTTGATTTACTTATCCTAACTAATTAATGTTTAAATTTTTTCTATTTACTAGGTCTGAACCTGAACTCATAGATGAAATTTCAGGCGTTATATTGAAAAGACTAAATAAATTGTCTCCAAGTGATTATAAAGGCCTGGTTGGGGTAGAATTTTCAGTAAACAAAATAGAGTCTTTGTTGCACAAGGGATCAAATGGTGTTTTCAAAATAGGAATTTGGGGCATAGGTGGTATAGGCAGAACAACTATTGCCCGTGTTGTATACAACAAAATCTTGAGCCAGTTCGAAAGATTCTATTTTGCTGACAATGTTAGGGAACAGTCAGAGAAAAATGGTATAACTCACTTGAAAAAAGAACTTCTTTCCACGATATTAGATGATAGAGATCCCAATATAGGACTCACCTACACAAGAGAAAGACTTAAAAAACAGAAGGTTCTCATTATTTTTGATGATGTGACATTTTCACAGCAAATAGAAGATTTGATTGAAAACCTTAACTTGTTGAGCTCGGAAAGTCAAATTATCATAACAACAAGAGATAAACAAGTGTTAAGAAATTGTGACGTAGATGATGCTTGTATGTACAAGGTTGAGGGATTAAGAGAGGAGGAAGCTCATCAACTTTTTAATCAGCATGCTTTTAAACAAAACCCTCCTATTGCATATTATATGGAGCTATCAAAGAAAGCAGTAGAATATTCCAAAGGCGTTCCATTGGCTCTTAAAGTGTTGGGTTCCAATTTGTTTTCCAAGGAAAAAGAGTTTTGGGAAAGTGTAATAAACAAACTGGAAAAAGGTCCTCCTTCGAATGTTCTTAACATATTAAGAGTTAGTTATGATGGACTTGAGAAAGACGAGAAGGAAATATTTTTAGATATTACATGTTTCTTCGACGGGGAAGATAGAGATTTAGTGATAGAAATCCTTAATGCTTGTGACCTTTATGCAAAGCAAGGAATAGAAGTTCTTATTGATAAGTGTCTCGTGCTTGTGACTTGCAATAGAATAACAATGCATGATTTGCTTCAAGAAATGGGTAAGAAAATTGCTCAAGATGATGATTGCAAAGACATTCGATTATGGCATCACATGGATATCTTGAAAGTATGTAGAAATTATAAGGTAAGGGTTAGCTATATGTATTTATAAATAAATACATAGCTTTGAAAGAGAGCTTACATTTTCATTCAAATTTTAAATTAATGTGGTTTAAGGAAATCTAATAAGAGATCTTGAATTTTTTTTTTTTTATTAATATTTTCTTTCTAAAAATTCTTACTTTTCAAGCACTTTTACTGCTATTGTTATCCTATTTATTATTTTTTCTGCTACTGAAATCCGTAATCTTTATTTGTTTAAGTTAGTTCAATGTTTCTATTCACTAGAGTATGTATTTGTGATTGTGATTGATTCATATTTTATTTTTAATAAAAAAATAAATTTTGTATCTTAATTTACGTATGAAGCTTAAATTAATTTGATTAGGCTAACATTGCTGGTTAATAAACATTAGCTAATTAATTAGTTTGATTTAATGGGAGATTCTTGTATGCTAACTGTTCGTCTCTTTTGATTGTTAGGGATGTGAAGCAGTACGAAGCATAAACTTGGACATATCTAAAATAAGCAACGCAAGCTTAATTTTTCATGTTTTGTCAAAGATGGATAACTTGAGATTCTTCAGACTATACAACTCAGAATACCGATTTAATAATCCATTTTTAAGACGGATTTAACTTACCAGGCAAAGATGATTATGAAAATAAGTTGGATGATTTTGAAGAACCTAAATCCTTTCCCAATGACATAACATTTTTCTGTTGGAATAATTACCCCTTTAAATCATTGCCATTATGTTCTCCTTCAATGAGTCTTGTTAAACTTGATATGCGTTGGAGCAAAGTTAAACATTGGCATGGTTTTCAGGTATGTATTTTTGTATTTATACGGTGGTCTTTTTGTTGAAAATTATAAAAATACAAGGCACTAATTTGAGTTGATCATTTTTGTTTGTTTTCTTACAGGATGCTGTAAGTTTGAAATATGTTGATCTTAGTTTCTCCCGACACATGACAGAGATTCCAAATCTCTCAAGAGCCTCAAATATTCAGGAATTGATTCTAGCACATTGTACGAGTTTGTTGGAGATTGCTCCCTCATCTATTCAAAATCTCAATAAGCTTGTGAATGTAGATCTAAGCTTTTGTACAAGGCTTATTAGTCTACCAGATTACATTCAATCAAAATCAATTGATCTCCGTGCTTGCCCTAATCTCAAGAAAGCTCCAAAGATCTCACGTAAGGTGGAAAGATTACGGTTAATTGGAACTGCAATAAATGAATTACCCTTCATCGAACATCCATCTGGACTAACTGAATTGGATCTTGAAAGATGTTCATCGCTTGAGAGTCTCTCGAGTAGCATCTATAAGCCGACATATCTCAAAACCTTTAATCTTGTGCGCTACTCCAAATTGGTAAGATCACCCAATGACAATGGAGATTTAGAAAGGTTGAAGGGTCTCTATCTAGGTACTGCAACCATAAAAATAGCACCATCATCCTTCTTTCACGTGTCAAAAATTAGACATTTAGACCTATGTCTACCTTTTTATGAACTGGAAACCTTGAATGGGGCATTGAATTCTTCATCAGGTTCAAGCTCTTTGGTATCAGATTATTTGGAAAAATGTAAAATCACCAAATTACCTGATAATCTTGGACAATTATCCTCTTTGAAAGAGTTACATCTATGTGGAAATAATTTTGAGAGCATACCAGAACACATCAAAGGGCTTTCTTACTTGTACTTCTTAGACATAAGTAACTGTCGGAGACTTCGACTTTTGCCAGAGCTTCCATTGGGTGTAAATGTGCAAGCATCTAACTGCTCATCCTTGCAATCAATATCAGATGCATCATTTCTATTTTTACCTGATTGGAGATTACGAGGGACAAGTTTTGCCAATTGTTTTGAATTGGATTTATACAAAATTCTTCATGAGGTATCTCTTTTTACCCTTTCTCATTTTTTATGATGTTAGTTGTTTTTTAAAAGTAATAGAAAAAAAAAAAAAAAAAAAAAAAAGGTCTAAAGCTAAAAGCCTAAAAGTATGTTATGATGTGATGATTTTCATTTTCATTGGTACAGGAATCTTGTCGAGAATTTTGTTCCAATATTTGTTTCCCTGGAAATGAAATTCCAAAGTGGTTTACCCTTCAAAATACGGGATCTTATATAACTCTTGATCAGCCACTAGATTGGCATAGTAAAAACTTTCTAGGTTATTTTACATCTGCTGTTGTTGGTCCAGAAGCAGTAAAGTCCAGTACTCTTCAAGAATACAATGTTACCTGTTACTGCTTGGTAACAACTGAAGATGGTAAGGAGCAAATTTATAGAAATTGCTTTAGACCTCGGGAACATGATGATTATGTCTTCGGTCAATTTTATTCGGATCATGTATTATTCAATTTTTTTTTCTATAACGGATAATGCGTTTCAAGAGTGCGATAGGGAATATCATGAAATTTCTTGTGAGATGGAGTCATTAGATTGGTGTCAAGAGTGCAATAGGGGATATCATGAAATTTCTTGTGAGATGGAGTCGTTAGATTGTAAAGTGCTCATCAAATTTCATGCTAAAGATAGAAAGGTGAAAAAGTGTGGGATCCATTTCTTGTATGTTGAAGATTATGGAGAACCATTGGAAACATCCAGAAGAAGTGTTGACAATGCTAAAAAGAAAGGGAAAGAGAAAGATGAACTACAATCCAATAAATTGCAAATTTCAAATTCCTTTGATGGTATATGCGGCTTAAGGTAAATAATAAAGATTTATTTTAAGCTCAATAATGTTTTTCGATTCTTTTGATTTATTTTGTCTAAATAAAAGAAATTATATATATCTCAAGTAGTACTAAATTTTTTCATCTCATGTGGTACATAATTTTATGTGACATTCTAAAGCCACTTAACAGATCAACACATCATATATAGAGTCTTACTAATAACACAAAACAAAATTCATTTGAGATCAAATTTTATATCGAATTTCATGTCAAATGTTGTTTTTGATGTTTGCTTGACTTAATCTGTTGTAACAGGCCTCGTTTCATTTCAAATTATCCATGTTATCTACAGTGTCTAGAAGCACGGTATTGGAAATTGAAAAGGAATGCAATTAGAGAAATTGTAAAAACTGCTCTACTCAATTTTCAGCCAAATACAATTTTATGCTCAGAAGATGAAGAGGTCTCTCTCCTATCATACCAAGTCAATTCTTATTTTTATTTTTTGTTGAATAAAAAATTTGATGTTAAATTAACAATGCTAGATTTTCTTATTGTAGATGAATGGTGTGAATCCAAAAGGTTGTATGAGTTTCCCGGGAAGTGAAATTCCAGAGTGGTTTAGCTTTCAAAATGCTGGTGATTATGTAGAACTACCACCATGGGGCTCAATCACTTATAAATTTGCCAGTTTGGCTTTCTGCACCATTATAGAATTCTCAGATTTGTTAGATTTGGGCCAACCTTTCTTCGTTAAATGTGAGATGTCTTTTGAAGGATGTGATCGTTTGATTGTTGCAATTGGGTCTATACAAGGTTGGTTCGAAGGTGATAGAACTCACTACATCAAATCAGATCATGTATTCTTGGGATATGATTGTGTCATGTATACTCATAAAGTTCCTAGGTTAGATATATATCATACTAATGCGAAGCCCATCGTCAATTTCTATGTTACTAATCATGATGGAGTATTGATAGAGGGTTGTAAGGTGAAAAAGTGTGGAGTTTGTTTATTGTACCGTGAAGATTTTGAGAACAAATGGAAGAATCCAATAGATCTTTCATTTTTAAAGAGAAGGCTAAAACTCAATGGAAATGGCCACTGTAACGATGAACCACCATCCTATGAACTTTCCACCGCACGTGATTGGCAACCTATGAGTTCTGCTACTTCTCTGGAATTGAATTTAATGGTTGGATCAACAGTAATCGATACAACTGAACCACCCTTGAAGAGATTGAAAGCACACAACTATGAAAATAAGTAAGTTTTCCTTCTACACCTCGTTTTAATTATATGATTAATTTTTGTTTTCTTAATTCATTTTTCTAGAAATTCTTGTTCACCAAATGGAATATGATTACGAGATTCTTATAGAAATATAAAATTTAAATATATTTTCAATTTTAGTGTTTCCCTTTCTTATGGGCACATGATCATAAGATGATTTATAAATGCGTCACAATAATGAAAATGTTGTTTAAGAGTAAAGTGAACAATATTTCAGATTAGGAATTATTGAATTTTGTTAGAGAAAAAAAAAAGTAATATTATGCAATCTAATTCATACACCAAATATAATATATTATAAAAATATATTAGTTAAATGATAATTGAAAAATATATTAATTTTTAATAAATGAATTTTTGTTAGAGAAACAAAATGTAATATTAATCTAATTCATACACCAAATATAATATAGTATAAAAATAATACAATGCAATGTTCTACCAACCATTATACAACATTTAGCATAACATTATATAATACAACGTAATGCTATATGCTATGTAATTTGCTTAATGTTATGCTCTGTCGCATGCCAAACATGACCTCAAAAGGATATTATATTTGTTTAATTTATGTTCTAACAACATTATAATTAATTCAAATATGCTGAAATAAATTGAAAATAAAAAGGCCAAGAAATTTTTCATTAAACCTCTTTCATATAATTTTGTTCTTAAAGTGCACTCAGATGGACCTAGAGAGTTGATTATGATTATTATCTTTTTTGCTAACTTAAAGTTCTAATATAATTTTGTTGTTAATCATAAAGTATTACTGATTTCATATAATTTTGTTCTTAACCATAAAATATATATATGTTGATCAAATAAATATATATAATTTACATGTAGTTGTTTGGTAATTGCTTATTTTAAAATATCATTACCTTTAAAGTAATCCTTTATAAGATCAAATAGGTTCTTTGAATTGCATAGATTTATTTCATATATTATTTGTGTTTGGTCATGATGATAAGCTTTTGTTGTATTAATAATTGTGATGCTAAAAGAAATGGAGGTGAGAAGGATGATAAAGAAGATACTAAAGAGTTAAATCCAAGTACAAGTCAACCCACAGGCTTTGTTGATTCTAATTTGAATGAGTTCCCTATCGATGACGAAGATGAACCGCAACCTAAAAGACTTAAAGAATTCAATTTCTTTTAAAGGGTAAGGAAGTCCAAATCTCTATTCCTAATCCATTTCTATCTAATTAATTTTGCTCTCAATTTCTAGTCTATTTTAGTCTTTAGATTGATTACAATCAAGATGCATCATAAAATAATTATGTAGAAGCTTATTTTATTAGGATGGAGAAGGTGAAGTACCCATCTAATTTGAAGAAAAGACATGAAGCAGAAGCAGAGCAAACAATTAGTGAGTAAAACATTGCTATATTAATAGGAAGCTGTAGTTATTTCAAGAAAAATTCTAGTCTAATATTAGTTTAGTTAACCATTGTTACTCTTCTTTCACCCATCAATGAAATTCAGTTCTGATTTGTCTCTGTTCTTAGTGTAAATTGACTTGTTGGTATCAGAGCACAAGAGTCAAGATGGCAAAATTTCCCTTCCACTTCAAACAAGTAGAAGCTAGCACCATAAGCAACAATTTAACAGCCCGTTCCATCTAAATAAACCGCCTCACCAACATCTACTGGTACCTTTGGGACATACCTGGCCTCATTAAGATCTTGACCCAATGTTTCAATCATCTCATATATCTTTTCCGATTTAGGGTGCAATCTATCGTATACTGTAAATTCATGGACCTCGTTATCCACTTCAATAGAACTAGTCCCCGATGGCTTTTGAATTCCAGTGCTTCTCATAAGTAGCCTTACACTAGCAACGTTGTCCCAGTCTTCTGCTGCTGCAGCAAAAATGTTTGACAACATAGAGTAATTCCCAGGATCTGCCGGTTTCAATTTAACCAGGTGATCAACTACCTCCTCAGCTAGTTCTACAGCATTATGCATTCGGCACGCTCCCAAAAGGGTACCCCAAATAACAGCATTCGGTTCAAATGGCATGCTGTGCACAAGTCTAAAAGCCTCCTTAAGATGTCCACCCCGGCCCAAAAGGTCAATCATGCAACCATAATGCTTAACTCGAGGAAGAATCCCGTAATCTCTTTCCATTGAATAGAAATACTGTACACCCTCGTCAATGAAGCCTGCATGTGTACAAGCACATAAGACACCAATGAAAGTAATTTTATTAGGCTTAAACCCTTCTTGTTTCATCGTTGAGAAAAGCTCCAGTGCTTTCTCACCATGACCATGCATCGCAAATCCTTGTAGCATAGCATTCCAAGACCCCACATCTTTCTTTGGTGTCTCATTAAAGACTCTCACAGCCTTGTCCAAGCTACCACACTTTGCATACATATCAATTAAGGCATTGGACACATTCGTACTACATTTAAACCTATTCCTCTCAATAGAAGTATGAACTTTCGTCCCCAAACTAAGCAAACCTGACTCAGCGCAAGCAGCCAATATTCTAATAACAGTCCAAGCACCCGGCTTCAATCCAACCTCCTCCCTTTCATCATACAATCTCATTGCCTCCTTCGTCATCCCCTTTTCAGCGAACCCAGATATTAATATAGTCCAAGGAATCAACTTCTTAACTGGCATCCTATCGAACAACAATTTTGCCATCTCCATATCTCCAGCTTTACTATACCCCCAAATCATCGTCGACCACGAAACAACATCTCTCGCTGGAATTTTTTCAAACAATTCAAACGCCAAGTTCATTTCTCCAGCCTTTGCATACCCCTCTAACATCGTATTCCAAGTAATCCTATCTCTCTCAGGCATTTCATCAAACAGCCTTTGAGCTTCAGTCAACTCCCCACTTTTCACCAACCCATAAATCGTTAAATTCCACGTCACGATATCTTTCTCACCCAGAACCATAAACAACTTCTTAGCTGCAATAACACCAACCACACCACACTTTGAGTAACTATCAATTAACGCATTAATCACAGGAATAACACTCAAAAACCCACATTTCTCTATCAGGGTATGTATCATTTGTACAACTTTTAACCCATTTTGCCCACCACACGCCTTTAAAATAAAGGGGTACGTATAATTATCAGCAAAAACACCATCCTTTTGCATTTCAAAGAAGACCCTAAAAGCGTGAACATCCTTAGAGTTTTGCACACAAGCGCTTATCAAAGTATTGTACAAATGAACATTAGGGTCTTGAACATAATTAAAAACCTTAATAGCCAACCCCAATTGGCGGCAAAGGGACAAAGAAGAAACGAGTTTCGGTGCGATATACAAGTCATTGTGGAGGTCCTGCTTGATGATTTGTGCGTAAAGTTGTTTAATGTGGTTAAGGTTGGTGCGTTTGTGAAGGATTTGAAGCTTTTCTTCCAAGAGTCCCCGTGTGGAGATCAAAGTCGCAGCTCGAATTGGGACATACATTCGAGCCTTAGCGGTGTAAGGTGGCATTGAAGAAGCGATTTTTCGTCGTGTAATGAAGAATTGGAGATGGGTTTCAGTGAATTTTGGCTCAAGGATTTGAAAGTCCTAACCTTTGGTGTGCGTTTAAACCATGAGTTGCCTGTGGTATCGCTTCTTGGGCTTACCCACAAGAGAACATATAATTATAGTGTAATATTAACAAGAAAAATTCTTTCATATATTTAACTATTAATCTTCTTTATAATACGAATTGAGGATATCACAAAGATTCAAAACTTGAGTAATGACAGAAACCAGAGGAAATTTAACTCGTCAGACCTCCCAAGTTTGCATTTAGAAAAATAACTCTAAAAAAATTTTACAATTTTTTTTAAGTTAGAAAAACTGACGTGACACACTTAGGATTCATTAAACATGTAAAACTGGTTAAACCGAAAAGATTTAAATATATATGGGTAATATTATAATTAATGGAAGTTTGTTTAAATTTTAAAAATAAAAAACGACCCCCTCCCTTCAAAATTGCTTAACTGAACAATATACTCCAAAAAGACTGACGAAACACCTTCAATTTCTCTACAATTTCCAACGATAAAAGTTCTCTATTTCCAGCCAATATTTGATCCTAAAGATTCGTTACACAAAATCATGGTTGATATTCACAAGGAGGAGGAAAACCCAACCCCATTCCAAATCATAGACTACGGCGGCGGCAACTATTCAAAGGTTGTCGAAGAAGATGCTCTAGTGGATCATCCGATGAGTCAAGGTGGTCCCGAGGCAGAGGAGACAATGGCGGCACAAGAATAAAGAGAAGAATCGAAAAATGGTTTTGAAGAGGAGGACGCCAACGAGAATTCAGGCGAGGAGGAGGACACCGGTGAAGAAATGGTACTTTTTTACTGGTGATTTTGAATTTGATGAATAATTTGATTGGTTTGTGCGAATTTGGGGGATATGTAGTTGGTTTTATTGTTATGGTGGTTGTGCCGTTTTGTCGAGCAAATGGCGAGCATTGGGAGAGTCGCTTTGTTTGGGTTCTAGAGGATGAGGGAAGGCAATAGAGGTTGTTTGTAGGAGGTTGGAGGGCTGGGGATGGCAGAAGATGGCGGAATAGGGGGACTGGAGGGCTGCCTTGCAATACAGAAGATGGCGGAATAGGGGGGCTGGAGGGCTGCCTTGCAATATCTGTCATCCTCAGCCATCTCCAGTCATGGAACCTGCCACAACAGCCTTTGTAGAGCTTGCATTGGCTTCCCCAGTCCTCTCGAAGCCAAAAACACCCACTCCCTGATGCCCTCGAAGCCCATATCCCCAAAATTGACAGCCTATTAGTTGTTTTGGTTTCTTTTTTTGTTGTTGTTTAGTTTATATCAATTATGTAGATTTTTCTAAGTGTAAATTATAAAGACTATAGGTTGGAAGTTGTAAGCGATAAGGTACCGTACTTCCCAATAAGGGTGACAGTTAGGTCAAGTTGGCAAGTTTTTATAAGAATAATGGAGATTTTAGAGGAACAAAAGAAGGGTATGGACCAATTCAAAAATAGTTGTTTCGGTCATTTTACAGACATCAGAGAAAATTGGAAAAAGACGTTTATGGGGGCAAGAGTGTATTATATGTTCTGCACTTAGTTAAAAGCCAAAAAAAAAAAAAAAAGGAAATGTGGTTGGTGTGTGATGGAAGCCACTACGTTTTGGGATGATGGAATATGCCTTGATGACAAGCTTAGATGTGAGGCTTTCTAGATGCGAAGAGCAGGCGAATTACGAAGAGTAGAGCAACCAATACTTGGCTACAAGGTTTTGGGAGGAAGGCATCGATTACAGGACGTTATTTAGAGGAGATGTTAGGAGAAATGGGTATACCTCTTCAAAAATTTCAGATTGTGCCTATATGGTTCGTGCATTCGATCATAATGGCTTCTGACTCAACAAAAGTTGTTAATATGGATTGGTGAAGTTTACAGCAACATGAACTTCTTTAATGCTCATCCGTGAGACAGGTATCATTTCAGCCTACCATTGACTCTCTGCGTGGAAAAGACATGGCGATAAGCATCGCCAAGCTGTTGAGAAGGATAAACCGAGCACGTACATTTTATTTGGCTTCCCATGAGCATGCAGGTAATATTTTTTTTTTAGTCAACAATCCAATATGGATAAGGAATCAATTAACTAGTAAACTAAGGTGAATCGGGCTAAACTATTCTGTACATCTTCGAAATTCAAGCATCAACAGAAAGAAAAGGATGTTGCAGCAACTCTTCGGCAGTCCATCTGTCTTCAAAATCTCTGATCATACACTGCTCAGGAATCTCTGATCATGAGTTGTGTGCACATCATCATAAATTAAAACTGATCACGCCATTCTCTTGAGGTTTCTAGCTCCATAATAGGTCTCACATCAGTCTTGAGGTTGTACTAAATCCTGCTTCTACAAGCGACTGAATTGGACAGCACACAAAATAACAAGTCATGAGCAAATTCAGAAATAGCCATTATCAATTGGTGCAATTGGCATCTTCTCTACTGTCAGAAGCTGTTTTTTTCAGAAGTAATAAATAATAGACCCAAGTTATATAAAATAACACTAACAACCAATATCATATACTTGCAGTTTCAGCGTTAACATACAGCATCAGCATATTGATTCATTGAATTTTAATTGCATACCATTCAAGAGACATACATATAAAATAACCAAACAAATCCATTGCTTCAAATCATAACTTAATCACAATTCTGCAGCAAATTTCTTAACTTTTTGGATGAAAGATCAAACCTGCAAGGCCAATGTCTACTAATCCAAAGTACTTGGTAATGGCGAAGAGATGCGTGACAAACGTATGATCCAAAAGCTTGTTCTGCTCATTATTTAAAAGAAAAAAAATCAGAAATATCCAATTCCCGATATAAATAGAGTAAAAAAAAATACAAACTACTGACCAGAACTTTCCTCTTTGTGACATACAGGCAGACTCTTCACCACGACGACCAAG